TGATTTATTTAAATAATAATAATTTCGTAATCTTAATTTTTAATTTTGTATAATAAATAATAATTTTTTACGGCAATTATTAATTCCGGTATAATAAATTTAATAATTACGACTATATACTATAAAAAAAACGAAATTTTTTAAAGTATAGATAAATTCTGAAGGGAAAAAAAAGAGAAGAGATTTAGTGATCTGAATAAGTTGGAGAATCAGTGAGGGATTAGGAATCCAGGCAGGTACTGCGGCCTTTTTCTTGTAACGGGAAGGGTTAGATGTATTCAAGATATTCAACAAGCCAACATATGTAATGACACCATGGAGACTAACAATAATTTCGTCTTTATCTTCACGCGCACGTACCTATGTTATTTTCTTGACAAACAATTTTCCCTCCGCCTTAAACACAGCCGGAAATGTGCAATTTTCGTCCGTCAGATTTACAAATTTAACAATAAAAAATAATAATAGTACTGTGATTACTATTAATTGCTTATTGCAATATTAATAACATCTAATAATGGTAATTTCAAAAATATTCACTAAATACAGGAAATATTACTATTTATTACTGTCAATTTAGAAGACAAATAATACTTTGTTATTTGTTACAATTAAGAAGACAAATAATACTACTATTAATTATGTAGTAGTATTAGTAATAGTAATACTAATAGTAATTTTACTACTATTACTATTAATTAATAGAAAAACGACAACTATTATTATTTAGAGGGCTTATTATTTATACTAATAATATTTTCAATCGTAATTTATAGTGACACATTAACTAATAGTAACATTTTTTTATAGTAGTTTTTACTAGTAACACTACTACTATTATTTAATAGTAATAAAATTACTAATAGTTAATCTTACTAATATTACTATTTATTATTAGTGTTGTTAGTAAATATTACGATGAGTAAATATTGTAGTTGATAATAAAACAATTAAATAATAGTAATACTAAATATAATTTTATTATTAGTAAAATGTTAGTAAACTATGTTATTATTACATAATAGTAGTAGTTAATAGTATTATATTAACTATTAGTAACATTTACTGATAGTATATTTACTAGAATTTACTAGAATGTTTAGTAGAAATACTACTGCAATTAATTAATAGTAGTATAATTAATAATATTTAATCTTACTAATAATACTATTAATTACTAATCAGTAAATAATTATATTATTAGTAAATCATTAGTAAACTATGCTTTTAGTACATAATAGTAGTAGTTTATAGTATTACTACAATATTAACAATTAGTAACATTTATTTAGTAATATATTTTAAGAAGACTACTACTATTAATTAATAGGAGTAATAATAATTAATTGTAATTAATAGTAGTAATATTAATTACTATTAACTAGTAGGAGTAATATTAATTAATAGTAATTATTAATAGTTATTATAATGAATAGTAATTAATAGTAGTAGTATTCATTAATAGTAATTCGTAGCAGTTTTATTAATTAATAGTAATAGTATTAATTAATAGTAATTTATAGTAGTAGTTTAATAGTAGTAGTATTCATTAATAGTAATTCATAGCAGTTTTTAATATACTTTTACTAAATAGCAATTTGTACTACATTCAAAAGAGTAAATTTTACTACTTCGAAGTAAATTTCAACATAAAAATTATTAAACTTTACTTCCAGGTAGTAAACCTTACTATACTTGTAACTTTTACTATACTTTTATAGTAAAACTAGGAAATCACTAGAATATCACTAGGGAAGTATAGTAAAAGTTACTTTATCCTTCCTTCCCCGTATAGTTTCAAAATTCATGGTCAGTTTGAAACTAAAAAACATAAATAAATACATGACTCATAAAAAAAAGAATTTGTGAATCTGATTTTACACTCTCTCTCTCTATATCCCTTAATTATAATAATTTCATTTTCATTTTTCGCAATGATGGACATGCAGTATATGTATATATAGAAAAAAAAGAGAGAGAGAAAAGGAATGAAGCATTGTTGCGGTTCTAGTCCTTACACAAGAACAATCAAATGATGCAATATTTATAACGCACATCACATCTAATTTTTTTTATGATATCTAGGTTATTTGTCTTTAATGTTAAGGCTACACTGTGTACTCTCCTCGCGCAAAAATTACTCATTACTATATTATTTTCTCAAGTTTCTCCATTACTATTCGATCGTAATCTATTTTTATAATACGTCACAGTATTCTTTTTTCTTCAAACTTTTATTATGATATTATTCCTTGAAAAATTGTATCTCTAGATTCAATTTTCTTTTTTCTGTCCTGAAAGTATCTTTCTAAATCTGAATTAGTTAAAAATTAATAATTATTAGCAAAAGGTTGACTAATTATTAATAGAAAATAACCAATTTTTAGTTAATAAATCACTACGAAAATAGTTAAATTTTTACTAATTGAATCAGTAACAAAAAATTTTAGTTATTTTTACAAAACTTAAAGATGAATTTAACTGATATTTGGTCATTAAATATTTGCTTAGTTGAAATATTACTATTTAAATCAGTGACTGATTTAATCAGTTAAAAATTAATAAGTGTTAAATTTTTTCCTTCTAAATTTTAATTACATAGTAAAAATGCATTCACTAATATCCAAGTTAGTAAAAAATTTTCTACTACTTGGAAAAATTTTACTATTACGTCTAGTAGTTTAAAAATTCTTGATTACAAATTTTTAATGAAAAATTACTATGGTATTTAGTAAAATTACTCATTCAAATTAGTGGATGATATAATTTCACTAATTCAGATTTGAAGAGTTGGCTGACTTTTTGCTTCAGCAATTAGTAAAATATAAGTAATTATTCGTAAATAAATAACTGGAAAACTAGCCGAATTTCACTAATTGAATAAGTTACCAAAAATTTCAGGTATTTTGACCAAAGTTAAATGTCAATTTAACTAATAATTAGTTATTTTTAACTATCAATTTGATCCAATTTGGTATATTAATTTAAATAAATCCAGAAAATTAAAGAAGATAATTTTAAAACACTTTAGGTGCACTAAATTTAAAGTAAAAAACAGTTATATTAAAAATTAAGTTTTAATATAATTTATCATAAAACTCAAAGAGTAACTTTACTGATTTAATCCTAAAGTAATTGCTCTTTCTTCTGCTATAAAATTATTACCCGGGCTCAATTACTCCGAACTAAGACAAAAATAATCCTTAATGATAGATCGTCCAACGTCCTTCCGGCAGGACGAAAAAGACTCAGGTGAGTCCCTCCGAAATCACTAAAGAAAACTAACATGGATTCAGATAAATAAAAAATGAAATATATCATTGGAAAGGTAACGAATCAAGCTTTCAGCGCATATAAATATCGAGCTAGTAAGTTCAAAACTAAGGGCTGGGTAGTTTGAAGAAGTTCCATGTTCCAAAAATTCACATAATTTTTAGTCACAGAATGATGAAGCCCGGTCCTGCCGGCAGGACGCTTTTCGCTTTATTTAAGAGACTACCTAGCCCAGGTTTATAAATTTAAAGACTCGATATTTACATCATTTGAAAGCTTGTTTCATTACCTTTCCAACGATATATTTAGTTTTATATTTATCTGCTTCCATATTAATTTTATAGAGCAATTTCTAAGAGACTCGCGCCTGAGTCTATACTCAAATATACTGAAAAATATTAAAAATGAATTTTTTTTTAATTAAAAAATTAGGTTTCATTCTTTGAACGTTTCTGAAGAGAAAGAGACTTGTCCGGTTAAAAAATATTGATTTTTGGGGATTTTACATTAAATTTACGAAAAAATGTTTTTTTCACTGTTTAAAAACATAGCAAGTTTGAAGGCTTTGAAAAATGGTTTAAATTATTATTTTAAAAAGTCAAAAATATGTATTTTTTCGTCTTTTCGTCTACTTTAATCCCAAGGAGTGCCAGAAAAAAAAAGTTGAATTCCCTTTTTTTAAAAGCCTTTTTTTCGGAACGTCCTTCCGGCAGGATGGGCGCTTGGACGATTTATCATTAACTTTTGAACCCAAATTGATCCAAATTTAAGCCAACTTTAATTGTCAGATAGCCTTAAGAAATAACGAATGATAAATTTAGCAGACACAAACAAGTGGATCAAGTGGAGCTAAGAATAATTTCTCAAAAAAGTTAAAGAGAATATTGAAAATTACTAATATTAGAAGAGTTCAACGACAGTATTCGGATGCATTTAACGAAGTCCTTAATTTTAAGACCTTACTTCTATTAAATTCTTGCACTTAGATCCTAAATTCGGAATTTTTTCTCGATCCTTGCATATATAAACATAGTCAATAACAACGCAAAGGAAAAAGAATCAGTTATTTTAGCTAATTTTTAGCTGTTATAGCTAACTTTAACTACTACTATACACTTAAAAATCGGACTCCAAATTTACTCCGAAGGATTGAATATTATAGTTCCAATCTCAAAAGAATTGGATTGATTAAAAACTATACAAACCAATGAAAGGCAAGCATTCAACTTTGTATTTTGATTGCATTTCAACTTTTCGAACATCATTTAAATCTTTTTAGTGTAAAGTAGAAGTTAGATTTTTTAGCAGTGTATGGAAAGCAATTATTTATTTATTTTATTTATTCAAAATTAAGTTCCTAGGGCTACTAATTGAGGCTCCGAATCTTAAAAAGTCACATATACCATTTAAAATCAATGCTGCATGTGCCCTTTTAAGATTTGGAGCCTCAATTATATTCGACAATTAATTTCCTAACTTTAAAAGCAAATTATTTTCTGCTGCCGTAGCTAAAAATTAGCAAACTCATCTATCTCCGTGAATAATTGTTTTAAAGAATCTCGTGTTTTTGACTATCCTAACTTTCCTCTGTTCGAATTTTCACGCAGAGATTTTAACACAAAATGCTCCTATACACCACGTGCAGGAGGATGCAACAGTATATTTAAAACTCCATCTGCTACCAATGGAATTTAAAGAGCCAAAATTCAGAAAAAAGGGACAATTACCTGATGTATTGAATGTATCCATGCCTGGCATCCTCGATGAGGAAACCAGGATTCCGCATGCCGATGATTTCGAAAACCATCAAAAATCATCAGCTACAAATGTGCCATCAAAAAGCAAATTCTTGATAAATCCAAAACGACATCTTGATTAATCCCTTCATAATAATCGAACTTCATATTCTCAATCACTCAAAGCACAAAAAAACAAAGAATAATTCCAAATAAAACACAATACACAAAAATCACAATTCAACCCCTAGTCACTCACTTTTTAAAAATTCTGATCATTGTAAAATTTAGATCATAACATAACATAACTCTTAGCGTAATTTTTTTATTCAAATTAATATTTTCCCAAAAGAATCCTGCACTGTCAATGAGATAGTGTAAAATACCAATCATGCACGTGTGGAGGATTGTGAAAAATTATAAGCGATTAGAAAGAATTTGTTTTGGATTTTTTCTATTCCCTATATAATATGATGACAAAGAAATGAGCACGCGACCCGTGCGCACAAGTTGGCGAACGCGAGGCGACTAAAGTTTATAGTAGGGAGTAAATCGAAGGAGAAAGAAGCAAAGAACGAGAGTATACACCTCCCACCAAGTGCCGGTTGCCTCGACCTAACCTCACCTTTCACGGCGCCGAAACGAACCGCGCGGTCGATCATGAAAGGTTTGTATTTGTATGTATATGTGAGTATATAAACGAAGCCTTAAAGCAAGAAGCTGAAGGTACGAGAGATGCTAATATGAAACCCCATGGCACCATAACACATTTTCCTTGTTCTGACATTGTGCATATACATACAATCATCTGACTTTTGTCTCGCCTTTAATCACCAGCCTAATAATATTCTCATAAATTAAATTACCACCGACAGTTAAGGATAATAATGCTATTTATAATCTAGTTCTTCATTTGCGTTTTTTGAACCAATTTTGTGGTTCTAATTTCGAAATTAGATTATCATCATTGAAGAGAATCGAATATGGTAATTGTTGGTATACGGTATTTTTGAACCAACTTTGTTGTTCTAATAGAAATTAGTCGCAAATATTATCATCATTGGAAAGAATCGAATATGGTAATTGTTACTATAAGGTATTTTTGAACCAACTTTGTTTAGTTCTAACAGAAATTAATCGCAAATATTTATCATCATTGGAAAGAATCAAATATAGTAATTTTTACCATACTGTATTTTGGAACCAACTTTGTTTAGTTCGGTTCTAATAAAAATTCGTCGTAAATATTATCATCATGGGAAAGAATCGAATATAGTAATTTTTACCATAAGGCGAAAAAAAATCTTATTTTAAAGAGTCTTAAGGATTTAAAGAACTTTTAAGACCTTAAAGTCCTAAAAGATTTAAAAAAGTCTTAAGGGGATGTCAAAGTCGATGCGATTATTGCACAGAGGTTTAAAGGAGAAGAGTTTTTAATCAGAACTGGTTTCCAGAACAGAAATGAAACAAATGAAGATTTGTTTAAATTTAATCTTAAATTCATTGACTACTTAGTTGTAATAGATAATTAATATTATCAATACTTGAATAAATTAAAAACAGAATGATTCAACAATTTTTTCTTCTATTATGTCCTTCCACAAAATTTCAACAAAAAATATATTTTTTAAATTGAAAAGTAATCTACGAAACAACTAGCAAATTTTACTAATAAATAGTAATGTCTACTAATTTATTAGTAAAATATTTATTAGTAAATTTTACTAATTTAGTGGAAATTACTATTTATTAGTAAAATTTACTAATTCAAAAGCAAAAAATCAGTCACTAATTCAAGTTAGTAAACACTTTTACTAATTCAAATTTAAAGCCCCATTTGGTCTTTATAAATGTATAATTAGATTTTTTAAATTATTATAGTATTTTAATTTCAATATTCTGTAAATATTATAAATTTTTTTTTCTGTATATTTTTCTTACTATATTTTTTATTACTCTCCTTTCTATTATTTTCCTTTATTGTTACTATACTGAGAAAATTGTTTGTTGTAATTAATAATACTGAATATAATTAATTAAAAGTATTAATAATTAATTATATTATGCAATTAAACTACATTTATTTGTTTAATAATCTCAAGTTTCGATTTCGAAATTTGTCTCCACCTGAGAACGCCAAGGACGCCAGCAGATGGCACTCTAGTTCCTTCTTGGAATTTTTCATGCCACCTGGTGGTGACCTTGACGTTCTCAAGTGGAGAAATTGAAGCACCATTTCGTCCTAACTACTTGTAGAGTTTTTCCAAGTTAATAATTAACAAAAACTAAATATAATTATTTAAAAGTAATAATTTTAATATTTTCGAAGAGACGTTGCTAATAAAGTTAGACTTTCCACGAAAAATCTATCAATATCCAGGAGTCAAACCAGTTATTTAGATTTTTAGAAACAGAAGCGTCTTTAGAACAATGGCGTCTATATTTGAAAACAGAAATTAAAATATTGTAATTTTTGCAAAAATTAATTTTACAGTATAATTTTAGTTCTTTTTTAAAAATTCGCGCCAGATTTTTAGATTTTAGAAACAGCAGCGCCTTTAGTCATTTTATTAATTATTAATTAACTTATTATTATACTCTGAAAAAATGTATTTTACTCAAATAACCTTTTACTTATGTTTATTATCAAATAAACATTTACTTCAATCAACTAATTTTTATTCAAGTCAATTAATTTGCATTTGAAACAATAATTTGAGTATTTGAAGCAAATATACAATTTAATTGATTTGAATCAATATTAATTGATTCAAGTAAATATTTATTTGATAATAGACAAATAATCGGTTATTTGAATAAAATAAATTTTTTCACAGTGTAATAAACTTTTCTTGTTTATTTTTAACAAATAAATAAATGATTAAATACTTATTTAAAAAAGAAGTTATTGATGTTTTTGAATAATTTTACAATTAAAGAAATTTTTAGAGTGAATCAGAATATTCTTTAAAGTCAGGGAGAAAGTAAAAATGTCGTCTAGAATCAGGAAAAGCAAAATTAAATTTTTGTGGAAACTCTGAATAATATTAATAATAATAATAATTATAATATTATTAACAAAAATAATAATAAACAAATTAGTAATTTGGGTGAAAAAAACATTGCTGATCGACTCTGTGCGAGGTGAATGAACGAAAAGTGGCATTGTGCTTGAGTGCATTCGACAATAAATGAGGTCAAAGGAAGAGGAAGGTGGAAGTGACATATCTTGTTGGGTGCATTATCGATGCGATGCTCAATGAAGTCATTAATGACTGCCCATTGTCTTCGAGAACCTAAAGACTTCCGTCTTTTCTTCAATCGGAAGGCACGACGATCTCACAAAGATTGATGCATTCAATAAAGCAAATTTTCTACGTCATCTGCCTATAAATATTTATCTATATATATATATATATTTACTCTTCATTTTTACGATCAAGATCCTAATAATTCGTTTTCCTCTCATGCGTCACATTTAAACGCTATAAAAACAAAAATTAAATTTGTTATTCAAAACGTTTAATTTTCATATGTTCCTATAATTTTTCAAGGTGAAATTAAAATCATTTTGTTATTCTTCATTGTTAACTGAAATTATTTTTTGTTTGAATGTTACTAATTTTTAAGTGAAACTTTTAATTTTTGCTACTTTGAATTCTCGAGGTTTCTAAAAATATATCGTAAATTCTCTTTCTCTGTAATAATCTACAAAAACTATCTTTATTTATTCAGGACCATGACCATAATTACCGTAGATTTCCACTTTCACAAATGATGTTTTCTTAAATTTTCACAAGCTGTTTATAGTCGGTGCTGGTCCACTGGTTTTACATTTCCAATTTTTCTCGAATTTTTTTTTTATTTTATGTATCAAAATTAAAGAACAATTAAATATTAATATTTGTGACGCGATCTGAAGAAAGGGACCTTAGAAGCAAAAAATTATAGGTTATGTTTGCAATTTTTTAAATGAAAATACAAAAAAAGGATCAACTGTCAATATAAATCATTAAAGTTTAAGTCTTCATTAAAACTAAAATATTTAATAAACACTGATTTTAATTCGAAATAAGTAAAAAGAAACTTTCAAACAAGAAAAAAGTAACTCTAACCCAACCTTAAAATGATTTGCTTCTAAGGTCCCTTTCTTCAGATCGCGTCACATTTATGCATGTGAGTGTTAGATCTTCTAACTAATTGTTAGTTGAAAGTTATCGTAGAAAATAAAAAAATATTTTTAGATTAATTTTCGGCTGAACCAAGGAAAAAAGAACCTTAAGGCCATGTTAAAGGAGAAGGAAATTTCTTTTTAAATCCAAGTGTCTTGTATTAAAAATCGAAGCTACTTTGATCGGTCCTTGAAATTTAATGTTGTAAACTTTTTTTAACTTCAGCATGTTTGAATAGTTTTGGCTGAAAATTGGCAAAGGCCTTTTTCGCTTTTTATCCGGAGGAAAGATATTATTTTTCTATTAAGGGTACAGGGTATATTTATATTTTTGGACGCGACAATGAAATAATTTTTTCAGGGTTCGAAAATTCTTGAGTGCGTTCAATTTGTGTTCAATCAATTTTTCACGTCACTTACTGATTTCTTTCAATAAAAATTCGCAGACTGTGAAGTAAACAAAAGAAAAAAAAAAGGTTGAAATCTGATTTTCCATTTCGATGAACAATTTACACTAGTCTGACGATCGATGAGACTCTTTGTTTCCGAGCATTCTCTTGAAGTGTTTTTTTTTTCTATTTCGAAAATTTTCGGTTGTGCTCTTTATATAAACGGAATAGTAAACTTCACTTCATGAATATGTGGTTTTTACTCAGTAAGTAGCAAAAATTATTTTTTACTTGTTTGCGAGTATAAACAGTTAATTAGTATTTTAAATATGAAATTTAATTTTTAAAAACTAGGAAAATTTGTTCCAAGTGTGCAATTGATTTTTTTTTCTTCTAAATCTGTTGGAAATGGAAGGTAGGATCTGTTTCGTCTCTCTGTTACATCAATCATGCTGTAATTACATTTGAGAATAAAGCTCGAGTTGTGTGTGCGGCAATTTGTCATCATTTCCCTCCACTGGGACGATAAATCGTCATTTAGAACTTTTGACAATGCAGAAACACTTTTTGTAGACTATTCTACGGACATAAAGTGATTTGTAAACACTTATAAAGTTAGTATCAAAACGCATTTAGCGAATTGATTTAAGGTCATGTGTCCCATTCGGCGTACTACTTGTGAATACTCTTCTTCAATTTTTGTTTTTCTTCTTTCAGACTTCGCGCTCGATTATTAATTTTAAAAAACTATTAAAAAGTAGTTTTCTATCTAAAAAAAGTAGCTATCGAAAAATTAAATTTGACGACCAAAAAAACTCGTTATAGACACTACACAAAAGTAACAAAAAAAATCCATTCTATATTTTATTTTCCTAACTTTTTCCAAATTTTCATCGAAACTATTTACTTCTTTCTTATCCTGCTAATAAATTGAATTCCTGCAACGAATTTTATTATTAATGAGAAAAAATTTTATT